TGACTGGCATTGTTTTTGTTTTGTTTTTGTTTTGGTTTTTTCAGTCAGATTTCCTGAGTTTATCACCAGAAGAAACTTAACAGAGTCTCACATGATTTATAATACTGTCACAATTCTCTCTTATCTCCTGTGCAAATGAAACTTTCCTCAAGCCTGAACAAATATTTTCAATATTTTAAAACAAGTTTCATTCTTGGCTTCTTTTTAACTCATGCTAATTCTTTCTTATGCTCTGATTGAGAAGAAGCTGAGGCCAGTAATGGGTCCACTGAGCCTCTTCTTTTTTTTTTTTTTTTTAAAGATTTATTGTATGTATGTATGTATGTATGTATATATATATATATGTATGTAAGTACTCAGTACATTGTCACTTTCCTCAGACACACCAGAAGAAGGCATCAGATCCCGTTACAGATGGTTGTGGGCTACCATGTGGTTGCTGGGAATTGAACTCAGGACCTCTGGAAGAGCAGTCGGTGCTCTTAACAGCTGAGCCATCTCTCCAGCCCGAGCCTCTTCTTTTGACACATCAGATCCCACAATTATAATAAAGAATATTTTTGAAATTTTCAATAGGCAAAATGTGAGTGCATTTTTACTCATTAAAGTACTAAATCATTCTCAAGCTGGGAACATTACATTTTCAACAAATATCAACATGTTCTATAACATACAAATTTTAAAAATTACCCTAAAAATTCTAATGCTTCTTTTGTCTTTAATAAACTCTAACATTTTTCTTGTCTCATGGGTTTACTGTAGCTCTTAAATATTAAAACTGTTTGAATTAATTTACACAGAGTATGTGTAATTTCTGGTAGCCCTTATGTGGTACCAGATTGTCTCTAAAAATATGATTTATGGAATGCTCACTGTGTGCTGAATATTCAAACAGATGCTGGCACACATCTAAAACAAATCCACAAGTGTTCCTCAAGGCCAAGTGTGTATTCAACACTGGGACAAGATGCCGAAGCTAATGGAAAATTCACTAGCTACCAATCTTCTTAAGGCCACCAGAATATCAGGAAAAACTTGAAATAAGACTTATTAAAATAATAAAAACCTGAAATAAGACTTAATAAAATAATCAGGGGATTTATAACAAAATGGGCAAGATGATTTATTTATCTTTGAAGAGAGGAAAAGAACAATAAGGACTGGACTAGTATTTCTTTGAGAAGGCGCTTGGAACAGAGGGATATCATAAAGAGTCTAACATTTAAAAGGCTTGGGGCATTATGAAGCTTGAAAATGAACACAGGCATAAGTCTACACAGAGAAGTGAAGAAGTGGTAAGGCAAGCTTAATTTTTCTTTGATGGTTTTGAAAGGCAGATGAAATTTAAATTCAATTCCATGAATCATGGAAGGCTTTTAACGCAAAACAAAGATTATGGAAAGCTTAAGATTTGCATGAGGCCTGATACAGTATCTCATGTGCACTTCTAAAGTTAACCTTTTTGGTTACCAAATGGGACTTTAATATCTGTGTTTCAATAAGGAAACCAAGGTTTCTAGGGTTCTAGTGCTGACTGCAGTGTTTGTGGAAGGCAAGTGCTTCAGTAGAGCCAGCACAGAGACTGCATGATGAAGAGGCAGCATACATAAATTTAAGACTTGGCTCTGTCATCACCAATTCTGTGACCTTGGACAAATCATTTAACTTCTCTCGATCCAATTTTCTTCATCTGAAAGAAGTTATAATGATCAGTTTTAACTTACAGAATGGTTATGTGTATCAATAAGTTAATATTTGAAAAATAAAATATTTCTCATACAAAATAATGTAGCAAATGGGTCACTTGAAACCAGTTACATTTTAATTCTTGACTTACTTGTCTATTCCACTACTGAGTCTTACTGTTTTACCAGAGAATCTGTGAACCATCTGGAGGAACGGGGCCAGGAACTGTTATGGCCATGTAGAACTAAGAGAGAGTCTCTGCAATTATATTCTAGAAAGATAAAGGTGAGAGATCCTGCTCACATATTCAACCACTGGCTGGGCTATCTACAAATTAAGCATACAGATTGATCTTTTAGAGACCTATATTTAGTAACACATCCATCACTTATCATCAGCAGATTCTTGGTAAGATAATATTCAGACTCCAAGGAAAAGGCATAAGGTAAAATGGGCAAGGAGACACTTGTAGGGCTTTAACTATGAGAGTAGTAATCTAAGGCCATCTGGAGAGGAATTTTAGGCTTACCTGATATTTACAAAAGCCATCTGGGTTTAATACGGTTTAATATTGAATTTCTTAACATGCACCTTATACAACCATATACAAGGGCTCAAATTTAGATGTTTACTGCACTTTGTTTAATATCCCACTGCCTTTGTAGCTTTAGAAGATATGAATCATTATTTCTATAAGACAGAAATTCACTATATAAACTAGACTAGCGTTGAGTTTGTGAGAATCCTCCTGACTCTGCCTTCCAAAGGCTGAGATTATAGGTGTCTGCTGCCTCTATAAATCATTTTCGAAAGGATTCTGTTTGTTTTTTTCTACCTTGCACCAAGACTTCTAAGTTATATAATCCCTCCTGGGTTCATAGCATGAATCCCTCAACCGACTTGCCACATATTCTTGCCTAAGGCAGAGCTACTTCTAATAGCTCCACTATTTTATGACTATCATACAACCCCTTGTATGACTACCTGTGTGTTATTACATTGTCCTCTCCTATGATATCTTGAAGTAAACATAATTGTGGATGCTTTGGCTTTTAGGCAGTTTTAGTTTACATTTTCTACAATGTTTTATAGGAATTCAGGGTGTGTATACATAAGTTAAAGCTATGTGAGTCAGGGGGTGACACATGTCTGATGCATAGCCTGTTGTTGCTTCCACTGTATATTGGTGATGAAAGTAGCTAGGTGCTTTTGCTATGTGAGAAAAGAAATTGTGTTTCTGTGTACCAAAAATGATTTGGTATGGTTTGAATATATTTCTTAAGGGAACACTTTTGGACTTACAAAAACTTTTTTCCCACTATCTCTGCCACTGTTCCCTAAGAATAATTTCAAGTGAGGCCAGATTTCACTCACAAGTTCTTACCTAAAATAAGTAAGTAATATTTTTTATATTAATATTATGAAGAAAGAGAAACCTTTCAAAGAAAAAGGAGCTTAGAAAAGTTGACACAGTAATTCAGAGCAGGGGTGGAAATGATGAAACCTTGATTCACAGGATTAGGATATTTCTATTACATTCTATTGCATAATTGTAAATGAAATTGCTTCAAAAAGCCTTTGAGAATTTCTATTAAATGGCACCTAGATAAGATTTCATAGTTATTCATAGCAAAGCTCCTTAAATAGTAAATTAGAAAGGTCACATCATGACAACTTAGTACAAGCAAAAACTCCCCTGACACCCATGCAGAGATTTTGATCAAACATTTGTCAGGTACATAGGAGGAATTCATTGTCAAACATCATAAGTACCTTAGAAGCTCAAAGAATTCAGTACCTAGAGTCTCTGGACTACATATGAGACTTTTGTTTGTATCTGACCCACTAAATAAAGGCCTTACTCAGAGTGCAAACAAATGAGTTATACTGAGAACATTGGTTTTAATGCTGTATTTGGTCATTTAGACCAAAAAGCACATCAGTTATTGAAGGTACTGAAAACACTAGTGGGACCAAAAAGTCTACACTATATCTTTGGCTCAAGAGTTAGGGCTTATGTTCATATTTTAAAATAGAAGTACTCAGCACATTGCCTACTGATCACTAACCTAATAAAAATCCCAATAGTGCCAAGCAGTGTAAAAGCCCTAAGCCTATAGTAGAAGCTGACTGCTTTGTTCCCTCAAAAATGAAAGGGATAGGGGTTCAGAAAGCCTTGTCCTATAACAGATAAAGGATGCTGAATCACAATAGAGAGCTTCCTCGGGACTTAAAAAGTTGTAGCATTATCTTTTTCTGTTTCATGTTAATTTATTCTAATAATTCTAATATTGAATTCTATTTATGATTACTAGACACTATATATATATGTGTATATATATACATATATACATATATATATACATATATACATATACATATACATATATATATATATACATATATATATATATATATATTAGTAATTTTAGACAAAAATTTTATAAGCTTTAAATAATAACTTAAGTTTCAGGCTTATTTCTTTTTATAGACAAGTAAAAATTCTTTATGCTTTTAGTTATCAGAAGGACTAGTAGGTTAAAACTAGCAATGTAGAGGCTCAACAGTAGAGTACAGGCTGCTCTTCTGGAAGACCCAGGTACAAATTTCAGCATCTACAAGGAGGCTCCTAACCCTTTGTAACTCTAGTTTCAGGGTATCCAATGCCCTCTTCTGGTTTCCATGGGCACAGGCAAAATGCCTATATATTTAAAATTATTTTAAAATTAAAAACAATTATAGTCTGGCTTTAAAAATAGCAAGCTCTTTTCTTCAATGATGTAGCCACTGAAAAGTTGCCAATTCTCCAGTAAATAACCTGTCCACTATGTTCATGCAAGTAATCTTAATTAAATTCAGTGAATCTTACACATATAGACAAAATTGATACATAAATGTGAAGGGAACATTTTGGAAGAGGCATTTAGGCAAAAGAAGTTGGGGAGATCAGGGAATAGTGGGGGAAATGATTATAGTTCATTATATACATTTATGAAACTGTGAAAGAATAAATTCATTAACTTAAGTCATGTTTGATGTTGCCAAAGGCAACCCCTATAAGTGATAATGACATTGAAGTCTCCTTGGACAACATTGTCCCTTGGATCAGATGAGAATTCAAAGTGGATAACTCCACAACATGCTTTTAAAACCGAGATTTTGTTTACCTAATTTAAGGGAATCATATGGATTACACTTTAGATGAAATTTCTACAGCTTTATAAATTGTGCAGATAAGTTTTATTCATAGCCAATAGTACATATCTATATATTTATCTATACACATTAATATATACACATTATATATACATATATTTCAGATGGGTAATATGCTAATGTTATAACATAGTTTGAAAGAGGTACATATCAGATGATTATGTAAAAAACAATTTTGCTTCTAAAACACAAAAGTATCTGGCAATTTATTTTTTTAACTATACTAGAAAGTATTTTAAAATTTTAACTGATGTTAAGAGATCTATGAAAATAAAGGTCAGCTAAAATGAAAATATATTTCTTTTCAATTTTTGGAAGAGACCACGAGTCTGGATAAAAGACTTTTATTTATTAATTAATTTTGTCTATGGTAAACACTAGCAAGAACAGATGGGGAAAAGAGGATTAAAATATGAATAATTACTTTATTGCCCTCAGGGATAAAGAAAAGGTCTTTTCACTTATAGCTATTATATAAAAATGACATTTTCAACATTCTCATTCATAATGTTTTCTGGAGTGTAAAGTTTGTCTTCCAAAAGTTTAAGTTAATTCCCACATGACTATGTAAAAATACTTTCTCATTTATTATATTTTCTTTTCCCAGGCCTCTGGTAAACTTAAGAGGCCTCATTATACTCTATGGAAATAAAGTGATTCCCAACTGTAAAAGAATCATTTTGAATGCTGACTAAAGTCCACAGCAGAGTTAAATAATTAACTAATTAACTCCTTCATTCATTCATGTAACAAACATTTATTAAACTCTATGCAAAACTCTGACTCTAACCCTCAAGGAGTTCATACTCAAGCAGTGCAGAAAGCCATGCATGAAACGAATGCTAATGCAGAGCTGTAAATGAAAAGAAGGCTGTGCTGTGTGCACTGAAAATGAGGCAGCCACTAATTCATTTGCTAGGAAGATCTAGTAAAAGATATACTAGAGTTAGACCTAGAAGGTTGTATAGAATTGTATTAACTGTAAATAACACATAAAGGAACACAAGATTGAAAGCAATTTATAGGGCAGGCTTGAATTCAATAATAGGAAGTGGGCTTCAAATGCCACATTAAGGAAACAAGTTAGTGTAGCTTTAAAGAGATATTAACATGTCCAAGTCCATATGTAGAAATTGCAGCTCCTTACCTTGGATGATAGACTAGGGTAGGGAGAAACTAGAGGTAAGAATACAAGAAGAACTGGAATACTGAAAATTCAGGGGTGGAAAGTTCTGATGAGTAAAAGAGACAAGGAATGAGAGAACCAGTTCTCAGTGACCTTTGCAAAACTAGAAAAGGGTAGAGTTAAAATACTTCTAGAACCTTGTATGTGGTTATCATGTAAGATACATATATTTAACTAAGTATTAACTAAGTTGGTAGCTTTGTTTATATGGAATACCAAAGTACCTATTAGAAACAGGCATTTTTTTCTATCATGTACAGTGATGGATATTTTAGATAAAAATATTACTACCAAATGACTATATTAACAATATACATCTGCAAATGTACTTATTAGGAAGTGTGCTAGCAGTTCTTTCATATCACAACTATTAGCTAATATTCTGTCTTTGATGTGGACATATATTGTGTAAGTATATTAAAATGTAAAACTTTATGAAATATGAAAAACATAATACATGCAAATTTACTATAAGACTTAGATAATTTAGTAGGGATGAACAATATAGTTTAGATGTGAGTGACATATTACAAACATCAAGACTCAGCATTGATGTACAGTTTTATAATTTACTATAATTTTAGAAGTTACTTTTAATTCTTCTTTTAATTTTAATACTTATTTTTGTAACTTAAAGAGACATGTACATTTCATACTGAAAGCAGTATCCCATAAGCCTCTGGGTCTATTACAATGTTTTACTAAATAATTTCTAAAATGTATCCATTCTGTTATTCTATAAATATTGAACTGTCTAGACCTTGGTAAGCATGTGAATTCTGCATGTATGAGCCAGACAGGATGATGATCTTCATAAAGGTCAGGGGTAGGGGAGTGAGGGTAGCCCCTGCTAATGACTATGTTGTTCTCAGTTTGGCTTTTAATCACAGCCACAGAGCTCCATAAGGAACTAGTGTCATAACCATCTGATCATTTATGCAAATGGTATTTATTAGGTGCTTCTTCTTTGGTGGGCATTATGCTTGGTGCTGGACACATAATGGTAAATAAAAGAAAAACAATACTCTCATAGAGCTTTCTGTCATGTAGTGAGCACATGAAGTACAATGTGTAGAGTGCTAGGGTATGGTTAACTAGTGAGCGGAGGTTCCCATGACGTAATGGGTACTTCAAATATATACACATGGACATGTGTGGTATGTGTTCAGGTAGGGGAGGAGTGTTGAAAACAGTCAGAGACAAAGAAAGAAAGTGAGAAAGAAACAACAACATGCTTATTTAAGTTTTGTCTGAATACTATCACATCCTCTTAGTCATCTAAGAAAGGAAACAAAGAATGAAGGGAGCCAGGACAAATTCCGTCACACGTCACACCTCCTTTCAAAAGTCTTCCTAATTCCTCCACACAGGAAGTGACTCTTGAATAATTACAGCTCTCAACTGTGGACAATTTCTTCCAATTTATGAGTACATTCTTTCATGACCCTTAAAAATAAAGAAAATCTCACGCAATAAAAAAAAATCACTTCCTCCTTTTATATAAATTGAAGAAAATCTTTGTTCGTTCTCCTTAAACACCCTGACAAAACAGATTTACCAGAATTATGTGTAAAGACTTGGGGGTCAGAGTGGGTGGGATAATGACAATGACCTGCTTTCGCTTCCTTTTGTGTGATTATTTATGCTCTTTTTTCTTCACCTTTGCCTTCTAAGTAATCAGCCTCATCCCTTACTAAGCTAGAAAGATGCTGATTACATACAAGTCACAGGGTATTACCCTTTTGACCTTCCTTGAGCTCTTTATAAATCTCTCCACTGCTGGGAGGCCAGGGTTTTGTTCTTCCCTCAGCAACAAAGAGTCATTGCTTTATAAGCTGCCTCACACAGAAGCAAAAAGAATACAGTGGGACCTGTGTATGAAGCAGGCTTGGGAAGGAGGGTTGTAACCTTGATCTTTCTGTTCCCATTTCCCCAGTGTTAGCTGCAGTAACCACGCCAAAAGCAACACAGATGACAAGTTGGAATGCAGTTACCTGTTCAGTATAAACTGAGGAGATAGGACCAGCTGATGGCCAAGGTTCCTTCCAGCTCTGACATTCCAGGATTAAATATGTCTCAAGCATAATAAGTTTAAAAGGAAATTGAACAAAGTATGAATTAGGCTGATGTATAAGAAGCACCCTGGAAGATACAGCCATTTGCAAATCATAAGGATGGAAGGTATCTTCCAAATTAATTTTCAAGCAATGAAGATTAAGTCTAAAATCTTGTGTTAAATAAAAACAGAAAACTTGTCTAGCTTATAAGCCAAAACAGGAATTGCTCTGCTCTCCAGGAGAAGGTTAGGAGACAGGCAAATCATTTTTGCATTTTCTTTCAGTGCTGGAGATTGACTACCAGGCCTTGTACCAGCTAGATAAGCATTCTACCACCAAGCAGCATCCCAGTCCTTCAGCATTTGGATTCTATAAGCCCAGTACATTTTAGTTTGTAATTGCATAACTGTTTACAGGACTCCTTGTAGTCAAAATGTGGTAGCAAAAGGTATCCGGACGTCTTTGAATAGTTTTCATCAGCTGGTGCTGGCTTCCACATTTTGCTTAGGGTCCTTTCTCTTTTAGTCTCTTTTATTCATAAGCACTGTCTTACTTGCTCCCATTATTTATTTCCCTTCCTGTATTAATTTTAACATGTAAAGGTGAATATTCTCATTACATTCTTGTTATGATTTGACCACATAGAAAACATGTTAATTCTTTTGATGAACCTAATATGGACATAGGCCAGTGTTAAATCAAGAAATAATAATTATACAATATTTATATGTACCTTAAAGTATTATAATTGTTTTGCTTCTATTGATTCATGCTGTACTCAGAAACACCTGAATAAGAATGTGTGTTTGACTCAGGTCACTAAGTCCCTCCCATCAGGGCTTATTGAATCCTACAGAAGAGGAAGCAGAAAGAGTGTAAGAGCCAGAGGAGCTGGAGGATACCAAGAAAACAGGGCCCTCTAAATCAGCATGATCAAGGCACATATAAATTCACACAGACTGAGGCAGCATGCACATGGCCTTCACGGGTCTGTACCAGATGGAGTCCTAGAGATATATGCCATCATAGCTATCCCAGCAGCAACCTCCACTTGATAGTTATTTGCAAATAAAAAATATAGGTTCTCCCAAAGAAATCTCACTATAGAACCAAACTACTTCTAAGAGTCCTTTGCATATATATTATGGCTTCCACTTAAGTGTTTTTATGGAATTCCTGAGTGTAAGAACATGTGGGTCTGTTTATTGTGCCTCCTCTTTAGATATATCCTTAGGTTTCTTTGTTTTGTTCAATTCTGATGCGTTAATTTTTGTTTCCTCTCATTATATTTTATTGAATTTTATTTTACCATAAAAAAGAACTGAATAGAAGCACTAACCTCGGGATTTGGGAGACGTTTCAATCGTAATGACACAGTTGATGGTATTAGTAAACTATCAACCCATCCACCCCTAAAAGAATGTGTATATGCTTATATATGCTCATTATATGAATATTAATCTTGTTCTTCTGTTTTTTGTTTTGTGATTTTTTTAATCCATGATGGTTTGTTGAGGTATGGTCTTTTGTTACATATTGTAATGCTGAGTGTGGACCCCCAGGATTCATTGCCTCAGAGACGAGACACTCCACACGTAGACCCAAGTCATGTTATGTGACTTTACCCCAAGTTATTTCTTTATAGTTGGTAAATAAAGATGTTGACAGCTAATAGCTGGGCAGAAGAGACATGAGCAGGTTTAGGATTCCCAGGCTAGGGGGTCAGAGGAGAACCATAAAGGAGAGAAGAAGGTGAGGAGAAAGGGAACGATGCCCATACCATGGGTTAGGAGTAAAGAAAGCATGGCCTTTCGGGCTGGCAAATTGGAGTTAAGAGCAGCCCAGATGAAACATAGTAAGCAATAACTCAGGGTTATTGATAGGAAATAGATTTTCATAGCACAAGGAATAGATATCTGCCCAGCTCTTGTGCTGTTTAAAGTATATTGTAAACA